CCCCCCAGTGGTTGTTTGGCAGCATCCGAGAGACGCTAGGGGTGAGACAGGGAGGAGCTGGGTGGTGGGGCAGGAGAAGCCCACCAGTGTATGCTCAGCGCTTGCTGTTTTTTTCTGTGGTGCTGCAGCCCCAGAGCACCTATGGAGTCAGGGCCTGTGATCACTGATAAAGTTTGCAGATGACACACAGGTTGGGGGAGAGGTAAATAATTCGTTGTAACAAAGAGAAGGTGAAGGGGTGACGTGGTTGCAATCTCTGAATATTCACATGGGGAGCAAATATTTAATAACGGGCCCCTCAGTGTTGCAGAGAAAGGTCTCGTGTGATCCCGTTGCTGGAAGTTGAAGCCAGACAAATTCCGTCTGGAAATGAGATGTGAATTTTGGATGGCGAGCGCAGTGAACCATTGGACCAGTGTAGCAGGGGCTGTGGTTGGTTCTGTCACTGCTCTGGGAATTCCTGGCCTGTGTTATAAGGTCAGACTCGATCGCCTTGGCCCCTCCTGGCCTTGAATTCTACAGACATGTGATGGGGGAGCTGAGGGTGCTCTATGGGCATGGCCAGTGACCACAGCCCGTGGGGTGCCATAGGCCTGCTTGTGCTGTGTCTGGAGGTCTCTAATGGCGGTGGCTGGCTCTGGTGCAGGTCTCCTGGACACCCACGTGGAGCTGCGCCTCCTGACCATCATTGTTGGAGGAGCCTTGGTGCTGGGGACCCTCCTCTGCCTCAACACCCTCATCGTCTGTGTCGTCTGCAGGAAGAGGAAGAAGGCATCAGGTGAGAGTTGGACGTGTCAGCACTGCCCATGCGCTGGACACTGGGCTTTTCTTTGGGCATAGGAGTGCACCCGCTCCCAGCCGCGAGGGTCACGGGCCCGTTGCCCAGCTCTGTGTAAAGACCAGGCTGCCAACTTTGCCCGTAACACTCTCTTTTCTTTGCCAGGGCTCCTGGGACCTACGCCTCTGCCTCTGAGGTAACCCACCTGCCCCTCGCTCAGAGTCTCTGGTCTGCCAGGGCTTGGTGGAGGGGTAAAAATGCCTTCTGTATTCTGCTTCCCACACCCTCACTTGTCAGCCTCAAGTCTGCACCTCTCCCACGCCTCTGTGCCTGCCTCTTGAACCCCGTCACTACCTTGGCATGTGCAGTTTTTAGGGAGGGTCTGGGTTTACTCAGAGCTCCTGGGGGTTGGGCAATGGCATTTTTGCAAAGTGCCACGTTCACAGCACTGGAGATTGGAGTCCTCTGCAGGGACAGTCCAGGCACCCACTGCCCTGCCCTGCATTGAACAGACCCAAGAGGAGGGTCCAGTGTCTGGGGCCAGCTAGGGCCGACTGTAATTTGGACCCTTAGGAGCTAGACTGACTCCTCCTAGCTCTCTTCACAGAGGGGCCCCAGCTGTAGCCTGAGGACAGTGTCCAGTCCCTGACCCAGCCCCCCACCCTTGTGCATTGTGGTTCCAGGGGACACGGATGCAGCAACAGGGGTGTTCCAAGGCTCTGCCGACCCAGTCCAGAATGAGCCAGATCCACTGAAACAGGCGCATGGGCATGAGGGGGGCAGGGCCTCTGAGCTGGGGGGAGGCCTGCACCGCAGTATGTGCTGTGCCGCCGGAGGGGGCTCTTGCAGCCCTTCAGTTTTGTTCCTGTTCCAGCGATTCCAACAACCGGAAGCTGAACAGCGTGCGACTGCCCCGAGAGAACATGTCCCTCCCATCCAACCTGCAGCTCAACGACCTCACGCAGGAGACCAAAGGTGAGTTCCCTACCAGAGCCAGGCAGCTCAGGGGGACATCCCACCTAGCAGATGGGTGGGATTTCCCTTTCCCCCAGGACTCCTCTCCTCCTGCATCTGTCTGGGGCAGGAGGTGCTTCCTCTTTGGCTCTAGGGCTCTGCTCTGGGCTGGGTACCTGCTGCATTTGGAGGGAGGGCTGGGGCCGGAGTCCCCAGGTAGGGAGTCCCGGCTGATTGGGGCAGTAGAGACGTGTGAGACTCCTGCTAATCTGAAATTCCTCCTTCCCCTGACAGCCAGCCATGGAGACACGGGAATCCAGACGGAGCGGAAGGACAATGCCCTGTCAGAGCCAGAGAACAGCCTAGGCCTTGGTAACAGAGGGAGCATGACTGGGCGGCAGAGGCCCTGTAGGGACAGGGAGTGGATCTGGAAGGTGGTTCCATCCTGTGATGGACTAGTGCAAAGTGCTCACTGCTGCATGCACTTAGCCCAGCTCTGCATGGGGGAGTGGGGCGCTCAGGTGTAAAATGGGAGGTCAGCCGATGTGTGGGGATGCACAGTATGTGAGCTCAGGAGGGTCGCCCTGCCAGCTCTGGTCCCTGGGAACTCTTGCTTTGGGCCAGTGCTGATGTGTCCTAAGGCAAGTATTCGATGAACAGCGAATAGCAAGAAGCTGGAGCCCTGCTGTAGAGCATGATCTTCTGCACTCGAGACATTGCACCCATCTTAGTCTCATTCGCTCCTTGGACTCAGAGATGGGCCAGACCCATCCAGGACAGCAGGGAGGGTGGGCTCTGTTGATTCTGGCAGGGGCTCTGGGAGAGACCAGAAGCCCTGCTGATGAGAATAGAGCTAGTAAGTAATGCTGCTCCCAAACTCAGGGGGTGAGCGATTGTTAGAGACCAGCTCTTGCCAGCGGCTGCTTCAGGGAACTCCATGGGGCTGGCTCCAAAGAGAAGGCTGTAGTGTAAGGCCACAGAGTGGAGCTTGTTTCCTGACCTTGTGTGGCTGGACAGGAGAGCAAGCAGCAAACCAGCAGAGCTCTCTGTGTGGGCACGTACAACATGGCATGTCGCTGCTCTCAGTAGCACTCTGGGCGGATTGATTTAAATCAGCCACACAGAAACCTTGGTATAAAGAACTGATTTTATCTTCGCTTGCATTTGTACCTTTTATGTTCCTAAAGGAAGACTGAGTCTCATTGGCTGATAACCATTAAAACATTTTATGCAACTAAATGCAGCCATTTCACTAAAGCTGCTGCTTTTTTTGCTAACTGGTAAGTTACACTATGGGACAAAGTCAAAGTGAGATACTTCAGCTACGTTAATTGTGTACTGAAGTCGAAGTAGCTTAACTCAACTTTTGGCGCTGTGCACAGTGCAGGAAATCAAAGGGAGAACACTCTCCCATTGACTTCCCTTACTCCTTGTGGTAGCAGGTTCACCAGCATTGACTGGCGCACCCCTCTCAATTTGAATTAGCTGCCTTAACTAGACCTGCTAATTTGAACCCAGGAAGATTGACAGCAGCAGCTTCAATCTTCTCTGTAGTGTAGACATACTCTATATCTGCATGTTTATTTGGGCTAATTCAGAGGCTTAACTTTCATGTGTATTATGTTGGAAATACAAATTAAATTAAAATGCTCATATGCATTTTAAATTTGTTCATGTACTAGAAATGTAAGAGAATTTTTATGAAGACATGATTTTATTTCAAACTAACTGGTTTATTAAAAGTATTTGTAGGTAGCAAGTTGAATTGTTTCTGATCACCACATCCTTCAAGGTTTTAGAACTAATAGATCATATTCTCTCAAGCCAGTTTTTTTCATAGATTGGAAAACAAGCTTTTCTGACTCCCAATCAGTTTAACACTGAAGGAACTAGTCATTTAAATGAATTAGTTGAATGAACTGAAATTAAGAAAATATTCTTGCTGCACCTGCAGAAGAGGCTTCTGCTGTCAAAGGCTGGTTTAGCATGCCAGCAAACTGTGGTTCCAGGTCCTTAGCCAGTGATTCCAGCCGTTCAGTGGTTTGCCTTTCTTCAAAACTTGGTAGCAAGCATGTATTGCTTATTTAATTTACATTTATTTTAATGGATTATACCATCATTAGACCTCTCCCTGTGCAGATATAAAAAATGAGCTGAAAGTGGAGAGGCTGGCAATGGCAGGCAACTGCCATGGATACATTTTGAACAGTTTGGGGCTTCCTACAGCTACATTTCCTGCCCCGCAGTCTGGCCTGGCTATGCAGTAGGGTAATTGTAATGGCATTTCTTTTGTCCTCCAGGTTTTGTCCGGTTCCCGATGGTTGGACACATTTATAAAGTGTCCAGCATGAGCAGTGATGAGATATGGCTTTGAATGTGTAGCTCCTGTGGGGTACAAATTACCCTTCCATCTTCTGGGATGAGTTTACTGACCCATCAGCAAGGCAGACACATCCAGGAGCTGATATTCTCCCCAGAATCCCAGATGACAGAGCCCACCCAGAACAAGCTCTCTGTATAACGACCATCCGAGCTCCAGCTGAGAAGTGCGCCGCCAACTTCCGGGGCCTGCGTCTTCCCCACCCTTCTGCCCCAAGGATCCTGGGTGCCTCAGCTAGTCTTCCCTAAAACACCATGGAATCTCATTAAGAACTGTCCAGTGTGCTGGGAGCAGTTGGAGCACCAGGACTGCAACTGGCCTGTGCTCCTGCCCGGGAGCAAGAGGAATGCACGCATTCAGCAGCCGTGGTCATTTCATCTCCCCTCAGGCCTGGGGAGCATCCATCTCTGAGTGGATCAGAGCTGTGGGCAGGAGCTGCTTCAAGGAGTCAGACTGCTGGAAGTGGAAGCAGATGAGGTAATGTCAGCATCTATGGGGGGGAGGTGGAGAGAGGGGCAGGGAGCCTGGCTTGCCTAAACTCCACTCTGTCAGTCACAGCTTCCTTCTCAGGCCTGGCCAAGTCCCTAAGTCCAACAGCTTTCAAAGTGGCTCTTGATTTTGGTGCCCAGGCTGAGTCCAGATGGCTGGGGTCTGCTGTCCCCAGGGGAGTAGGCAGCTCAGAAGATCAGGATCTGGGTATTCCAAGCTATTACAGGCTTCAAATATTAAGGACCACTTTGGAAAATGTGGCCTGTCCCCAGGGGTGTGTTGAGTATGGTATTGTGCAGTAGGAGATGGAACAGACTTTCTTCCCCATGGGGTTGGGAGGGGCGAAGCATGCCAAGAATGGCAAATGCCAAAACCTGACATAGTGAGCCCTGAGGCAGTTGTCAGCTGCTCTGGTTCTGTGCACCTGCTGTGCAGGGCACAGGTGCGATGAAACAGCAAAAAGAGCATGAGTGCCCCTGGTGCTTCTCTGCTCCCAGCTACCTCCACCCTTGTAATGAGAGCAGTGATGGGCTGCTGCTGGGTAGCCCCTATTCAGCCTCTGAGAACGGACTGGGGGTAGTAGCTGAGTGAAGCCCATGGCTGCCTCCTGGAGAACCAGAGTGATAAAGGGAAGCTCTTAGTCTTTGAAAAGAGCATTTAGGAGAGATGCATCCCTGCTCTGCCCTCATTTACACGCATGCACGTCCTTGCAGAGAGTAGGCATGTGTCACGTTTCTTCACTCTGAGCCCAGGCACTGCAGTACGCAGCAAATTTCTGTGTGAAAAACCACTGAGGACCTAATCATCCACTGCAGTGACTGGTGTGTAAATCCTGTCGACCAGAGCTGCTGCAGCACCTGGGCACAAGGATGGCTCTGGGGCTTTTAGCCTTTGCTGTGTGTCTTGCTGTGGTGACCGTCTTTTTGTGAATGCGCATCTGCAAAGAGCAACTCTTTCCTAGGAGACTCCCATTTGTGACCCTTCTCTCCTGCCAAGAAGTCAGCATGATCTGGGTGCCAGTGAACAAGCACAAATGGAAGTGGCTGTTCAGGCTGGCCAGCTTCTGCGTAATACATTAAGCTATGCATCAAATTATCTAGCAGCTGCTAGTTCAGTTAGTTGTTTTCAGATGCTGCATTGTTAGGTGAGGCATGTTTATGTAACTTAAGCACTTCAAGAATAAAATGCTGTAATCAAAGTATAACACAGAGCTGCTTCTAAACGGACTGATGCTCTGGCACGAGTTATGGGCTGGAGGGACCTACCTGGGCTTGGCCACTTGAAAGGCTGACTCCCCGGAAGAGCCTTCAGCGGTCCTCTCCCAAGGATCTCAAAAACACTGACCAATGGGTTGTCTCAAAAGAGTCTGGAAAATTCTTCCAAAAGCAATAAACCAAAAATTGTCTGTAGCAGTGGCCGGTTATTTCTAGTGTGTCCTCATCTCCCAAAATACAGAGCAACTCTAAGCCAAATTCTGCTGGAAGTTACAAGTGTAAACCAGGACTAGCTGCTGGATATACCCTAAGCTTGTGCTCTCGCCTCTCCCCAGAGGGTGATAAAGGAGACATTTCACGTGTTAACTAATGCTACCTCCAGGAACCAAGGGGGAAAGAAACTCCACTCTTACTTACTGTGATGGTATTACCACCTTCTCCCTTCTGATGGTGCCCTTACTATTACTCCTTGAATAGCTGCTACTGAGCTCCCAACACAGAGCAGAAGTTCATCCATAAAACTTCCTTCTCCCCTTCATTTGCTTCCAGTGACAGCTCTTCGCCTTACAGGACAGGTTTACACAAGCACACACACTGGTGAATACATCTCTTTATTAGAAATGCCTAAGTCCACCCCCCCAGGTGAATGACATGTTTGTGGCTTTCATCTCTCCATTCAGTGGCTGAATCTTGTACTCCTCTCATAATGGAAACTGCTGTGGAGAAGCAATTCTGAGTCCATTCCTGCAGTGAAATCCTGGTTCTTCAGCAATGTAGGCTGGGGATCTGGGCTAGTCATATTCCCCATCATTAGCACCAACCCTGAAGCTCAGTAGACTGTAAAGCCACGAGGCTG